AGTCTCTTCTCTCAGTCTTGCTGATGAGGAAACTAAGGCCCAGAGAGGGTGATCCAAGTTCTCGAGGGCACACAGAAATGCCAGGACCAATTCTCCAGTTCTCTGAACTAGTTTCCAGGCTTTTCCTACATCCCAGAGCCTCTCACATCCATTCCTGTAGCTGCCAGTCTTGTCAGGGACACACCCTCTGGGGCCTTGCCTGTTTCTGTCGCCCCAAAATGCTGAGCCTGCCGGTTCCTCCCATCACCACTGACCATACTTTCCTGTCCTGCCTGAGCTCCCAGCCCCCACCCCCAGGCAGGGTGGAGGCTGGAACTGTCCAAAGGAAGCTGTGGCGCCAAAGGGAGGTCAGGAAAGGCAGCCCTCAGAGGCCTATTGCCCAACCAGGAGGGGCTGCAATCAATTGGCTTCTGCGGCTCTTCCCTGGGTTAACCATTTCCTGGCTTTGTGCCTCTATCGATTGCTCTGCTAACTTGGTCTAGGCCAGTGGTCGGCAAACTCATTGGTCAACAGAGCCAAATATCAACAGTACAACGATTGAAATTTCTTTTGAGAGCCACATTTTTACAACTTAAACTTCTAGCGCCACTTCTTCAAAATAGACTTGCCCAGGCCGTGGTATTTTGTGGAAGAGCCAGACTCAAGGGGCCAAAGAGCCGCAGTTTGCCGACCATGGGTCTAGGCAGTAGTTCTCAACCTTCCTAATGCCACGACCGTTTAATACAGTTTTCCCATGTTGCTACCCACAGGTTGAGAACCGCTGCTGCAGAGCCTAAGACCATAGGAAAACACAGATATTTACATTATGATTCATTAACAGTAGCAAAATGACAGTTATGAAGTAGTAACGAAAATAATTTTATGGTTGAGGGTCATCACAACATGTGGAACTGTATTAAAGAGTCGTGGCATTTGGAAGGTTGAGAACTACTGATCTAGAGGAAGGGGAGACCAGGGTTCGGGATGGGCGCCCTTTGTATGCCCGGCTTCGATGTGAAGGGGTGGAGGGTCCCCCCCCCACCCCGGTCTAACCCCTGCATGGGCCCTGCTGGTGCTCATGTGGGCAGAGGCATCCCCAAGACTGGAAAAGGGGCGGGGGGGGGGGGGTTGCCTCTTGTGAGCCTGGTGCACTGCTGTACCCGCCCCTTCCTGAGAGTCCGGAGAGCGGCCTGCCCAGGCGTCACTGTCACTTGTCAGGTGCCCCGGGCATAGAGTTAGAAGTGGGGGGTGAGGGGCTGCCAAGGAAAAGGGAATGACACGGGGGGTTTCTAGGAACACATGGGAGTGGTGTGCTAGAGGGATCTGGGCCTCATAGCTCAGCTCTCTGCGGGCCAGCTCTCTGGTCTGGCTGCAGCTGTGTGTGTTTGCTGAGGATCCACAGGATTTTCAAAAGCCGAAGAGCTGCCCTTTCTACTGCAATCTTATGTAGAATTGCCATCTATGAAACTGACAGAAGCATAGTTGCTCCGGCTGGGGTGGAACCCCCCATTTGGATGAACCCAACTTTAGGTGGCTCCTCAAAGCTGCCAGGTGTTCCTGTGTATAGATTTGGCTTGTTATAGACACCTTAGTGAACACCTTTGTTCTGGGACTTTGCATAAATGGGGTCACACTATAAAAATTGTTCTGTGTCTCACCTCTTTTAATATATGTGTAAGTGCTCTTCCCCCCATTGGACTCTATGGATCTACTGCCATTTTTTTTTTTTTAATTTTTAAGTCAGTAACAAACTGCAATAGTATCATATTATCAAGTAGCACTTTAAAAATATTTCTTAAGATTGTAGCAAAATGCACATAACATTGATCATCTTGTCCATTGTTAAGCGTGCAGTTCAGAGGCACTGAGTACACAGTCACATTGTTTGCGCAATCCCTTACCACCACCCATCTCCAGAACTTTCATCTTGTAAAACTGAAACTTCATGCAGATCAAACACTGACTGCTCACTCTCCATTCCTCCCAGCCCCCGGCAACGCCATTCTAATTCTGTCTATAACTTTGCCTGTACGAGGTACCTCGTATGGATAGAATCATATAGTATCTGTCCTTTTGTGACGGACTTATTTCACCTCAATGTTGTAGCACGTGTAAGAGTTTTCGTCCACTTTAAGGCTGAACAATATTCTGCTGTATGCACATGTTACATTTTGTTTATCCACTCATTTGACTATGGACAGTTGGGTTGCTTCCACCTTTTGGCTACTGTGAATAATGCTGTTATGGACATGGGTGTACAAATATCTGTTCCAGGCCTTGCTTTCGATTCTTTTCAATTTTCTCAATTCTATATACCTAGAAGTGGAATTGATAAAGCATATGATAACTATTTTTTTTTTGAGAAACACTGTTTTTTTTAATACTTGCATAATATTCCTTGAATATGATTTACAGGTAAACATTTGGGTAATCTCAATTATTTTCCTATTGTAAACAATGTTGCAATGAACATATTTAAGGTATGTACATCTTTATGCAAATAAGCATGTATTTTTGTGGGAAGAATATTAGAAAGGTAATGCTGGGTCAAAGATATGCACATTTGGAAGTTGAATGGTCATTGTCAAATTAACTTTTAAGATGTTTTCACCAATATACAGTCTTAACAATGTATTTGAGTGTATCTACTTGCATACTGACCAGCACTCAATGCTATCAATCTTTTTTTAAAAATTTTAATTATTGATTTTGAGAGAGAGAGACGAAGGGAGAGGGAGATGGAGAGGGAGAGAAAGAGAAACATCAATGTTGAAAAGAAACATTAAGCCGAAACCGGTTTGGCTCAGTGGATAGAGCGTCGGTCTGCGGACTGAAGGGTCCCGGGTTCGATTCCGGTCAAGGGCATGTGCCTTGTTTGTAGGCACATCCCCGGTGGAAGGTGTGCAGGAAGCAGCTGATCGATGACTCTCTCTCATCGATGTTTCTAGCTCTCTATCTCTCTCCCTTCCTCTCTGTACAAAATCAATAAAAATATTTAAAAAAAAAAGAAACATTTTTTGCCTCCTGCATGTGCCCCAATTGAGAATTGAACCGGTGACCTTTCAGTGCATGGGAGGATGCTCAACCAACTGAGCCACACTGGCCAAGGCTCAAAGTTATAAATTATTTATTTATTTATTTATTTATTTATAGGGTTTTAAAAAAATCTTTATTGTTGAGAGTATTACAAATGTCCCCCTAACCCTACTTCCTTTAGCCTCCTCCACTAAGTTTTTGCACCATCACAGGCCTTCACCACTTTATTGTCTGTGTCCATAGGTAATGCATATATGCATATAAGATCTTTGGTTAATTTCTTCCTACCCACACCTCACCCCTTCCCTTTGAGATTCATTACACTGTTCCATGTTCCCATACCTCTAATTTTATTTTCTTCATTAGATTTCTTGTTCATTTATTTTGATTTTTAATTCAGTTGTTGATAGATATCTGTTTATTGCCATTTGATTGTTCCTATCTCCTTCTTTTTTCTCCTCCTCCCCTCCTCCTCTTCCTTCTCCTCTTCTTCTTAATACCTTTCAACATTCCATGTAATGCTAGTTTGGTGGTAATGAACTCTTTTTGCTTTTTCTTGTCTGTGAAGCTCTTTATCTGACCCTCAATTCTAAATGAGAGCTTTGCTGGGTAGAGTAATCTTGATGTAGGTTCTTGCTTTTCATCACTTTTAATATTTCTCGCCATTCCCTTTTGGTCTGCAAAGTTTCTGTTGAGAAATCAGCTGACAGCTGTAAGAATGCTCCCTTGTAGGTAACTAAGTGCTTTTCTCTTGCTGCTTTTAAGATTCTCTCTTTGTCGTTAACATTGGCATTTTAATTCTGATGTGTCCTTGGTGTGGGCCTCTTTGGGTTCCTCGTGTAAATCTATTTCTTTCAAGGGGAAGTTTTCTGTCATTATTTCTTCAAATAGGTTTTCAATATCTTGCTCTCTCTCTTTCCCTTCTGGCAGCCCCATATGGAAATGTTGGTACACTTAAAATTGTCCCAGAGACTCCTTATACTATCTTCATATTTTTTTAAATTCTTTTTTCTTTTTGCTCTTCTGATTGTTTTTTTTTTCTTTCTTCCTCATATTCCAAATAATTGATTTGATTCTTGGAATCCTCTACTATTGAATCCCTGTAAATTATTCTTTATTTCAGTTAATGTATGTCTAATTTCTGACTGATCCTTTTTCATGTATTGAGGGTATTTGACATTCTCACTAAGATCCTTTCAATCTTTTAAATTGTTGTCAATATGGAGACTTAATTTGTTCAGCATTTCCTTTATTGCTAGTGAAGTAGAGAATACTTTCCAATACTTACTGGCTGCTTATATTTCTCCTGTGAAATATAATTTTCAATTATTTGCCAATAAGGACTTTAGCCTTCACTTACTTGACCTTCCCATTGCTTTTGCAGCTGTGGCCAGCTTAGAATTTCAGGTTTGAAGTTATTTCTGTTGGAATTCTGCAGACAATGTTCTGCTGACTCTTAGAATCCACAGTTGCCATGCTGATTCCTGATACTTAGTATGTGACCTGCTTTTTTCTGTCTGAAAGTGTTCAGGATTTCCCTTCACCCCAATATTCTGACATTTTACGACTAGCCTTTCATGGGTCTCTCTGCGTTCATCATACCAGGCTCTTAAATCAAGAGACTCATGTTTAGGTTCTGGGCAATCTTATGTAGTTTTTCTGAAGTAATTTCTTTTTGTCTTTTTTGAACTAGTTTGGTTGGATGCTAGACATCCTAGACTGACCCTCCAAGTCTCTCTTTTCTTTCTCTCTTGTGTTCCTTTTCTCTCGCTCTCATTTTATTTCTCTCAATTTTGATTTATAACTCTTCTATTGGGATTTTAAATTCCAGCCATCATAGTTTTTATCTCCAGTTCTCTGATTGCTCACTTTTCATGGCATCCTTGGGAGGATGCCCTACAAGGAGGATCAGGAGCATTTAAAGTAGCCGGGACTCCTTACTCTGCCTTCCTCTCATCTCCTGAGAGCTGACGCTGAGGTCCCACATGGCTGCGACAGTCTGGACTCTGGTGCTAATGATGGGGGCTGCCTATGGCCAGGGCTACATTCCCATCTCAGTCCGGTAAGCTGGGCTCGGGGGGCGACTGGGGTTGGCTCTTAGGAATACTGAGGGGCAAAGTCAGAGGGGCGAGCAGACTAGATATGAAGGGCACACCCTAGGAGGAAGATGGGAACCCATGGCATTGAAAGAGGATGAACAGAAATAAGGGGAATAGCCGAAGCCGGTTTGGCTCAATGGATAGAGCATCGGCTTGGGGACTGGAGGGTCCCGGGTTCGATTCCAGTCAGGGACATGTACCTTGGTTGCGGGCACATCCCCAGTGGGGGTGTGCAGGAGGCAGCTGATTGATGACTCTCATTGATGTTTCTAACTCTCTATCTCTCTCTCCCTTCCTCTCTGTACAAAATAAATAAATAAATAAATAAATAAATAAATAAATATATAAATATATATATATATTTTTTAAAAAAAGAAGAAGAAGAAGAAATAAGGGGACCCCCACAGCCTCCTGAGGGGTGCGAGAGCTCAGTGGGAGCAGGATGGAACCGAAACATGAGGAAAGAGGGAGGAGGTGTAGGGCCGGGATGGCAGGTCTGAGAATGGCAGAGGAGAAGAGAGACAAAACCTAGAGCAGACCCAGCACACAGGAGAGACTTCAAGTAGGAAGCATGAAATGCATGGCTCAGCATCCTGGAGCAGCTCATTTGGGGGGATTTGAACAAATGGAACTTGAACGGCTAAAGCCAGGGACTATTCTATGTGGCCCACACCACCTGAGGAGCGGCAGGGGCTTCGCTGTAGAAAGTGGAAGGAGAGAAGGGTGGTCCCTCTGTGAGTCCTACGTTCAGTCGCGTGCAGCTGGGGCAATATCACCCCCACCCCACGCCTAACAAAACAGGACCCATAGAGCCCCTCCTTCGTGGGGAAATCTGGGCTATAGGACAAGAAGATCTCAACCCGAAGGAAGGAGATTCCCCAGGTATAAAGTGGTTCCTCCTCACCCAAGATTCAACCAGGCCTGACACCCAGGGCATAGGGGGTGGAGGGCACTGGCCGGGAAGAGAGGACCTCCCAGGGAAGATACCTTTTTGGAGAGAGATGAGAACTTAGGTGAACTCACAATTATTGAGGCTTATAATTCTTGATATTGACAAAGATTACTTTTTTTCCCCTTATACCGCCCCCCCCCCCCCCCCCAAATCAACCTCAAGGACTGAGAAGCCTCCAGACCAGAAGTCATTTGCCCAAACTTCTAGGGACAACTGTGAGTTGAAACCCAGGACTGCTCAGACTTCCTCTCCCTTCCAGGGTGGCCACCCATGTGCCCTCCAGGCCAGGCAGTTACATAAATGTGTGAGGGGCAGCCCTTAGGTGACAGAGGGTGGAGGGAATGGGGGAAGAGTACAAGCTCTGCCTAAAAGAGTCACATTCCAAGAAACAACAACAAAGTGTATGCCGCCCAGACAAAGCCCGTCTGGCTCCCCGAATCCAGCCCCCTGGACCTCCATTTGTGACTCCAGACCTAGACATTCTGCCCTGCTCACCCTACCCACCCCACCCCTGCCCCGAGTTTCTCCTAAACGGTGACTTATTTCTCAGCTTCTCTTTCCCAAATCTCTGCTCTGTGCCCTAATCTTAGTGGCTGCCTTCTCTAAGCTTAGCAGTCTTGCTTGACACCTACCCCCTTAGTTTGGCTCTGCAGCTAGCCCTCTCCCCTCTCTTGGCCTCATGGTGGCCTTGTCTTCCCAGCCATTATCAGCCAGTGTGATTTTGAGGACAACTCCAAACCCTTCTGCGACTGGACTCAAGTATCCACAAATTACGGGAACTGGATTCGAGTCAAAGGGCCCTCCATCATGGGCAGCACCGGGCCCACTGGGGGTTACCCCAATGGAGGTGAGACCGTCTAACGTGTAGGGAGGCAGCGGGAGGAAGGCAAGGGCAGATCCGGGGGCAGGGACCAGGGAAGGAGCTGGGAGTGGGCACCTGGGCTCTGGGAAAGAAAGGTTTGGAGCAGCCCAGGGGGTGGCAGGGCCTCACTGTCCTGGCCTCTCCTCCCCAGAGGGCTACTACCTGCACCTGGACTTCCGCACCGCCCAGCAGGGCAGGGTGGCCCGCCTGCTCAGCTCCCCCATTTGGGTGCAAGGCCCTCTGTGTGTGCACTTCGCCTACTACATGTTCGGGCTGACGTGGGGTGCCCAGCTCAAACTGCTGCAGCTCACGGGCACAGAGAGCCAGCACCCCGACCTGCTTTGGAAACACGTTAACATCCAGAGCCCCTCCTGGATGCCCACCACTGTCACGGTGCCCACGGGGCACGTCCTGCCCATCCAGGTAAGGCCCAGGGCAGAGCCTGGGGACCCCCTGGGAATCTTGGTATCAGGTGTGGGGGGCCCAGAAGGGAACGGGGACAATGAGGAGGTGTGGAGGTGGCTGGGCCACTTGAACTCAGGCAGCAAACTGGGAGCCTGAGGCAAAGGGGCTCACGGAGTGGGTGATCCTCCCTCCCTCCCACAGCTGATATTTGAAGGAGTGAGGGGCAGCCCTACTTCCCTGGATATCTCTCTGGACTCTGTCTCTATCCGTCGTGGCGCCTGCAGCAGGGGTGAGTCCCTTTCTCTCCTCCTTCCTTCCCCCCCCACCATCTGGCGAGGGTGGCAGGCATGGCTTAGGAACCATGACCTGGTTTCTTGCAAAACTGAGTCTCCTTGCTTCTTGCTACCTCCATACCCTGTACCTTTGGTTCCTGAAGCAACCACACCTAGAGAGAGGTTCTCTTTAACGGAGAGCTGTGGTGATCGCTGTCCTGGGTGGCCCGCCATTCCGTTTGCTCCGGGCTGTCCCTGCCTGAGCACTGGCAGTCTTACATCTCAGAGCACGTGTGAGTCCTGGCCAAACTGGAACGGTGGGCCACCCTGGAGGCTGCCCCAGACCCATCCACAACTAACTCTCTAAGCTGACGTTAGAGATGGGAGGGGAGCAAATTCAAAGGAAGGAGAATTCCAGAAGCTGGAGGCAGGGAGCTCCCAGAGACTGAGCACAGGCACTGTGCTAAGATGCTCTCCACACGTCATCTAGTTTACAACATGGGAGTACAGTTGTTCCCAGTTTTCAGATGAGGAAACCGAGGACGGGGCAGTTTAAGAAATCTGGGCCAGGAACAGCCGCTGGCGAGTGGAACTAGCTGGCTTGAAAGCCTTTCCTGGCTCACAAAGACCCATATGGAGACCCACAATTCTGACTCCAGATGGGGTGTGCTTTTTGGAGCTGCCTCCTCTTAGAAAAAGCGAATCTTCCCTCCTTTCATTCACCTGTGGTGGGTCCGGAACACCTTGCCTAAGGAATAGGTCCCTAGAGGGAGGACCAGTGTCCTATTCATTTTATGTTTTCGGTATCTGGCACAATATCTGACATATATTAGGAGTAGTGCTTGTTAAGTGAGTGAGAGGTTGGGAGTAGAAGGAAGAATATGAATGCTACCCTTTTGATCCCATCCATTCGAATTAGATGTGAGTAAAGAGGGTAGTGGTATGATTTTGACTAAACTTCAGGGATTTTTTTCTTTTTCTTTGTAGGATCTGTGCCAACAATGCTTTCTTCCAAATATCCAGTTTCCTTTACTGGCCCTTCTGAGACCTTGTTCTCCACGGAAAAACCCACTGAAAAACCCACACTCTCCACTGAAAAACCCACACTCTCCACTGAAAAACACACAGTCCCCACTGAAAAACACACACTCCCCACTGAAAAACACACAGTCCCCACTGAAAAACACACAGTCCCCACTGAAAAACACACACTCCCCACTGAAAAACACACAGTCCCCACTGAAAAACACACAGTCCCCACTGAAAAACACACACTCCCCACTGAAAAACACACAGTCCCCACAGAAAAACACACACTCCCTACTGAAAAACACACAGTCCCCACAGAAAAACACACAGTCCCCACTGAAAAACACACAGTCCCCACAGAAAAACACACAGTCCCCACTGAAAAACACACAGTCCCCACAGAAAAACACACAGTCCCCACAGAAAAACACACAGTCCCCACTGAAAAACACACAGTCCCCACAGAAAAACACACAGTCCCCACTGAAAAACACACAGTCCCCACTGGAAAACACACAGTCCCCACTGGAAAACACACAGTTCCCACTGAAAGGCCCGCAGCTTTTATCACACACGCACCCACCAGCCTTACACCCTTGATGTTGCCTATTCATCATATTAGTGCCGCCGTATCTACTATGACCTTGGCCACCACTACAACCCCTAGATCTACTCCAGGTATGTGGTCGTTGGCTAAAGAGCTAAAAGCAAGAGACAATGATAGGAGAGAGCATTAGGGAAAGGGACGCTTCGAGTAGAAACCTACAGACTTAGAGAAGGATGGATCAGACATGGGGACTTCCGAAAACATAAGGAGGACTGACTACACTGAGTGAGAGGGAGAGCAGGGCTTTATTCTTATTATTACTATTCATCCTCTTTAGTATACAAGTCATCCTGGATGGTTTGATTCAGTGGATAGAGTGTTGGCCTGAGGATTGAGGGGTTCCAGGTTTGATTCTGTCAAGGGCACATGCCCGGCTGCAGGCTCATTTTCCAATGGAGGAAGTGCAGGAGGCAGCCAATCAATGCTTCATACAATTCAGTGGTTTTAGTATATTCACAAGATTGTGCAAATATTATCACTTTCTAATTTCAGAATATTTTCATAACCCTCAAAAAAAACCAAACCTGCCGAAACCGGTTTGGCTCAGTGGTAGAGTGTCTGTCTGCGGACTGAGGGGTCCCAGGTTCGATTTCGGTCAAGGGCATGTGCATTGGTTGCGGGCACATCCCTGGAGGGGGGTGTGTGGGAGGCAGCTGGTCGATGTTTCTCTCTCATCGACATTTATCGACGTTTCTATCTCTCTATTTCTCTCCCTTCCTCTCTGTAAAAAATCAATAAAATATATTTTTAAAAAACACACAAAAAAACCCAAACCTATATCCATTAGTAGTTACTCCCTAGTCCACCTAACCCCAACCCCTGGCAACCACTAACCTATTTTCTATCTCTTTGGATTTGCTTGTTCTGGACATTACATACAGATGGAACCATATATGATTGGTTTCTTTCACTGAACATAATTTTTGTGTTTTTAAAAAAATATTTTTATTGCTTTCAAAGAGAAAGTGGGAGGGAGAGAGAAATAGAAACATCAATGATGAGAGAGAATTACTCATCGGCTGTCTCCCGGATGCCCCACACTGGGGATCAAGCCCACAGCCCAAACATATGTCCTGGCAGGGAATTGAACCATGACTTCCTGGTTCATATGTTGATGCTCAACCACTGAAGCCATGCTGGCCTGGCTGAGTGCAATGTTTTCAAGGTTCGTTCATGTTGTAGGGCTCCATTCTCTCTCTCTCTCTCTCTCTCTCTCTCTCTCTCTCTCTCTCTCTCTTTCTTTGAGAAGAAAGAGAGTAGATGAGAGACAGGAAGTCTCCCCTAGGGAAGCTGTAGAGTGTAGGCTTGATGAAAAACGGTTTCTCCTTTAGCAAGCTGCCCCCCAAATGCCCACCATGAAATCTGCGCCTGCCCAGCATCCTGCCAGAACCCCAAGCCCAACTGTGAGCTCTTCTGCAAGCCCGGCTGTGTCTGCAATCCCGGCTTTTTGCTTAGTGACTCCCATTGCATCGATGCCTCTTCCTGTAACTGCTTCTACAATAATAATCAATATAAGGTAAGACCAAAGGGATGTCCAGGTCCTCCAAGGGAGATTGCTAGTGCAACACCTGAGTTCTGGTGCCATGTGCTTCTTTGGTGAGGTGAATTTGAATCCATGGAACAGTCCAAGGGGGTCAGCTCTCAAGCAGTGGTAACACAATGATGGAGTTATTCACTCAGGTTGTAGTTTTGACTGACATCTCTGTTCATATAATAAATATTTGTTAAGCACCCACTTTGACCGGGCATGATGCTAAGCTGTGCAGATGATTCCATTATCTCATGGTTCTGTGCTAAGTGTGCCTAACAGTCTGGATCTCTCTGTACTTCTCTGTTCCATGCTGGCAGCCTTGATGCATTAGACACTAGACCAACCAGGTGATGCAGGGCCCTTATTTCCACCACGAGGGAAGTTTGGGGTCCCTGAGTATATAGGGAGCCCTGGATATTGAGTAGAGCTTCTGGCATGTATTCCAGAATCTTCCAAAGGAATTTGCAAATCCTGATAGAAGAAGTCAAAAGAGAGGAGTTACTGTTCTTATGTCTCCTTGTCGATGCCCACCCTGGGGGAACGTTTGTCAGAAACAGAGGCTCTAAAGGGGAACAGGTTCTGGGCAGCACTGTCCAAAAGGGATAGCATTCAAGCCATACATCATTTTGCCTTTCCTAATAAACACGTTAGAAAAAAAATAAAAGGAAACAGGTCAAACCAATCCCAATAGCACCTCAATCCCAAATATTCTGATTTCTAACATTGTTCACATTCCCTTTTTCCATACTAATAGTCTACAAAGCCCAGTGTATAGTTCACACTCACAGTATATCTGGATTTGGACCTGCTATATGTCAAGAGCTCAATGGCCACGTGGCTAAAGGCCACTGCATTGAACAGAGCTTCCCTAAACTCGGGCCAATCTGAGCCTGAATCCTGGCTCCAGCACTTTGCTGGATGACCTTGGGCAAGGTTCTTTACCTCCTTGAATTTGTTTCCATATCCATAAAATGTGCACAGTAAGATTTTCTACTTCGTAAGATGGTTGTGAGATGAATTCAGATCCTGACACAGACCAATTACCTAGTGCATGTTAATAGTAATTATTATTATTATTAAACCTATTGTTTGCAGCCTACTAATTAACAGTGCATTTCAGCTATTTATTTATTAGCGTCCTGTGCCTCTTCTCAGCTCCTAGTGCTCTTCCTTTTGGTTGTCAGAGTTCCTAATTGTCTCTTCAGGGGCTACTTCCTCCCTAGCCCACCTCCCTTTCCCAGTCACAGGTGCCCCCGTGTCAGTGTTAGGATTAGCCTCAGCTGCAGCCTGGGTGGGAAGATCTGTGACAGCTGTCAGTATCAAGCATCTCTTCCCTGCCCCGGAAGACGTATATTAACTTATTTATATATTCACTTATGCACTCGGTGAATGTTTATTGAGTACTTTGAACCCTACTGGGTACGGCAGTCACCATGAATAAGGCGTGGTCCTTGCTCTCCTAACACTGTCCGATTCTTTGGGACACACTGGATCTTCATTCAACAGGTATTTACTGAATGAGAGCTCTCTGCCAGGCACTGTGCTATGTGTTGGGGCTTAAGTAGTGAGTGCAGATAGACAAGGTGCCTCACTGGGGGATTATAATCAAACAATCCCCAAAGTAAATATAAAAGTGCGATTGAGGTAAGTCCTGAGAAGGAAAGGCACCCAGAGCTATGTTGCAGACCCCTAATCAGGGAGGCCTGGAGAGTCTTCCTGGGAAAGTAGTGTCCCTTGAACTGAACCTGCTGATGCGTAAGAATGCTTTAAAAGAGGGACGAGGGAGAGCATTCCAGGATGAGTGAACGACATCTGCAAAGGTGCCGTGGTGGGCAGGAGTACCTGGTAGGGGGTGGGGAGAGGAAAAGGTGAGGGCAGGTGCCACGGAGGAGGGCTCTAGCAGGGGATGACAGAGAGTGTTGTAATGCCTGTCCCTTCCTCCCAGCCTGGGGCAGAGTGGCTCAACTCCAACTGCACAGAACGATGTCACTGCTTGCCTGGCAGCCGAGTACAGTGCCAGGCCTTTCAATGCCAGGGAAACAAGTTGTGTCAGCAGAAGAACGGCCAGTATGGATGTTATACCTATGGTGAGACCTGCCCCCTTATTCTGTCCCACCTGCCAGCCTTTCAGGGAGGATGTGGTTCCAACCCCTCCCTTGACAGGAGAAGCCAGTGGGAGGCGGGTGAGGGGGCCGTGGGACCTGGCATGGTGAACCTGTTTCCCAGGGTCCCCTTTCTTCCCTCAACAGGCTCTGCCACCTGCTTGGTCTATGGAGACCCTCATTATCTGACCTTTGACGGGAGGCACTTTAACTTCATGGGAAAATGCACCTACATCTTGGCCCAATTCTGTGGCAACTCGACAGGTAGGGTTGCCCCTATGGTCTGGGGTGGGGGTAGGGGGGTATCTGACAGAAAAGGTGGGCATTAGAGCAAATGGGAAGAGCAAGAAAAGTAAGGGTGGACAAATCCACTTCAGAAGCAGGACTTTCTCAAGACCGAACTACTTGGGGAAAATGCACCTTAAGACACTTCTCTCTTTTTTTAACCTAGGGTGGGTGGGAGATTGGACTGATAGGTAGATGATTGATGATAGATAGATAGATAGATAGAGTAGGCAGAGGAGAGATGGAAAGATTGAGAGAGAGAGAAAATGATCAAGCAAATAGGGTAAAATGTTAACATTTGCAAAATCTGGGTGAAGGCTGTCCTGGAATGCTTTGCACTATTTTTGCAGTTTTCCTGTAGGTCTGAAATTATTTCAAAACAAAAAATTAGTGCTCACGGCCACACCACATATAGAAAAGGAAAAGAAAGAGAAGAAAAAAAAAAGAAAAGAAAAAAATTAGGTTCAAGAGGCACATAAATGGTAAAAAAAAAAAAAAATTCTGTACATTCACATCAAAAGGATCTTCCTCAGATTTGGAAGTTGCATGCATCTGATCAAAGCTCTTATACAACAAATCGAAGATATCTTTAACATTTCAAAATCTAATGTTGGAATATAAAGTAGAATGACAGTTTTCAACAATCACCGTTCAAGATATATATATATATATATATATATATATATATATATATATATAATTTTATATATATATAATTTTATATTTATATATAATTTTATTATGAAAAGAGTGAGAAAAGAGATTAGGCTTTGCCCTCAGACAAAACCAATGGTGTTTATACTTCAGTCTCCAACCATAAAATGTGCAACACCATTCTTTTTTTCTTTTTTTTTTCCTTCTTGCAATTTCTTTTTGTTGAATTCATCGGAGTGACATTGGTTAATAACACAATGCCATTCTTGAATTCATCTCCCACGTTTTCCTTCTCATAACTAAGTAAAACGGCATGTGCTAATTGTAAAATAGAAAAAGCTAAAGGTTTATTTACTTATTTTTGGAGATTTATCTCCACTTGTGTGAAGACACTGTCCATTGTAGCCCTGCAGCCACCCCCACATTTCTTCCTGGCCCGCCGAGCCTTGGTTTGGCCAAGACCCTTCTCTGTACCAGTGGCTTCCTTGGCCAGCTGTTATTCAGAGGCTGGCCTGGCACCGTGGCCATGAAGGGACAAGAGAAACAGCACAAGCTCTCCCTCTGGAGGACATCCCTGTCCATCGAGGTGGACTGGCAGCACCCCTCCAGGCTGTTCTGGAAGAGGCAGGCAGTCACGTCCCGCTCACACGTGGGCCCAGGCTTACCTCTTCAGCTACAAAACCAGTCTACCCCACGGTGCCAGGGGTGGGGCGCTCCCTCAGGGGGTGTCAGAAATGCTTGCTTTTCACTCCTCTCCCAACCAGAGCCCTTCTTCAGGGTGGCAGGGAAGAACGAGGAGGGCGCACAGGAAGGCATGTCTTGCCTGAACAAAGTCTACGTGACGCTGCCTGAGACCTCCATCACCCTGCTCCGGAGCAGGCGCACGCTGGTGAGTCCGTTTGTGTTCAGCTCTGCGGGGCCGCCCGGGGGCTGCTGCGGCCTGGTCCCGGCCATTCCTGCAGCTCCCAGCCCCTTGGGAACAGGCTCCAGAGCACTCCTGGTGCAGAAGTTGCTAGGATTGCTGTGAGGGTGGACGTGGGAGTGTTGCGGTGTGTGTGTGTGTGTGTGTGTGTGTGTGTGTGTGTGTGTCTTCCTGACCCCCGGATCTGTCTCAATGCCTATTTTCTCGGCCTCTCTTTCCAGGTTGAGGGTCAGCAAGTCAATCTCCCGGCCATACCTTCTACAGGTGTCTTTCTGCATTTAAGCGGGCGGTTTGTGGAGCTGCATACTGCGTTTGGTTTGCGGATACGCTGGGATGGCGACCAGCAGCTGTTTCTGAGGGTGCCCAGGTGAGGCAGCGGCCACTCCCCCTGCTCCGCTCCTCCTCCTCCCTGGGCCCTCCGGGCCTCTTCGCTTTTCATTCCAAGCGCTGATTCCCAGTGTGGCTCACCAAGCAGGCCTCCCTGTGGGTGAGGAGACAGGAGGAAATGGTCTCAGGGCGGCAATGCTTTGGGAATGCACGAGGAGTCACTAAGGGGCTGTGGGAGCTTTCGGAAGAGAGGTCACTGGGGTCTTCAAGGAAGGCTCACGGGAGGAAGAAAGACTTGGTAGAAGTAGTGATCAGCAAATGTGAGAAAAAACTTGAATGTCTTGGGACCAGAAAAAGGTTTTTTATGGCCGAAACCGGTTTGGCTCAGTGGTAGAGCGTTGGTCTGCGGACTGAAAGGTCCCAGGTTCGATTCCGGTCAAGGGCATGTACATTGGGGGGTGTGCAGGAGGCAGCTGGTCGATGTTTCTCTCTCATCAGACGGTTCTGGCTCTCTGTCTCTCGCCCTTCCTCTCTGTAAAAAATCAGTAAAATATATTTAAAAAAAAAAAAGATTTTTTATGGACCTGGCTTGTGTGGCTCAGTTAGAGCATTGTCTCATGTACCGAAGGGTTGTGGGTTTGATTCCGTCACGGCACATACTCAGGTTCTGGGTCCCCAGTTGAGGTGTGTGCATGCAGGAGACAACCAATTGATGTTTCTCTCTCACATTGGTTTCTCTCTCTCTCTCTCTCTCTCTCTATCTCTCTCTCATCAATGGGGGGGAAAGAGTTTGTTAGGCTGGAATATGAAATGTGAGCAAAAGAAGGGGAGGAGAGGAGACTGAAAAGGTGGCTTGGGGGAGAGGGCTGTGCGGTCCTTGTGTGTCTGGCACTGGCATGGAACCCTTGATCTGAGTCTGCACCTCTTTCTTCTCTGCCCGCCTCACTCATCCCACTTTGCTGTGGTCCCTGAGATAACTAAGGCCCCTTCCTTCCATTAACGCTTCCTCCTCACCTTGCCCCCCACCCCCAGCACTTACTATGGCAAACTCTGCGGTTTCTGTGGCAACTACGATGGCAACAGTGGCAACGACAACAAGATGCCTGATGGCAGGGCAGCACACGATGAGGAGGAACTGGGCATAAGCTGGCAGACAATAGAGGACACCGAGGAGGAGTGAGTGGGGACGTCTCCATCCCTGTCACCGCCCTCCTGCTCCTTGGTCCCTTTTAAGAACCAAGCACCCTGGAGATGCTGTGTGTCCATATGGCAGCCTTGACTGAGGCCTGCCAGGCTGCTGGCTACACGGTGAAGCCCTGGAGAGGACCCCAGTTCTGACAGGAATCACCCTCCTCCTCCTCCTCCTTCTCCGCACCCCCACTTCTGTCCCAGCCACGTCCGTGAACTCGTTACAACGCGCGCACTCATCCCACTCCGCTGTGATCCCTCACGTGCTGAAGGCCCCTTCTTTCCATTAATGCTCCCGTGCCTCTCTGTCCTGCACCCGCCCTTGCAGCAGCTACTCTAGCAAACTCTGCAGTTTTTGTGGCAGCCATAACAGCGACAGCACCACACGTAGCTACAACCATCAGTTACCTTACGGCAGGCCAGCAGTACACGAGGACCTGGACATCAGCTGGCTGGCAGGAGACAATATGGAAAAGAAGTGAGTGAAGACGCCTCCATCTCTGTTGGCAGCCCCTTTGCCCCCTTTAAGAACCAAGCACTCGGGCCGGCATCACCCCGTCTCTCCTCTCCTTCTGCACACCCCCACTTTTGTCCCAGCCAAGTCCATGGACTCATTACCAACATGCTCGCCCTGCCACCAATGCTCCTCAGACAGGTGCGAACGGGCCCCCTCTTGCTTGTCCAGCCCAGGTTTCCACCTTCTGCAGGGCTTGGTGTTCCAGTGTGCTCTACCAGGGCTGCTGAGAACGGTAGACTGCTGGGGTAGGGACTGAACGGAGGCAGATTTTGGCTCTTGCGGCATTTGGGGGTGTCTCTTCTAGGTGCCAGAGCAATGCAAACCCCTCATCTTGCAACTCAACCTTGCAGAACACTCTATCGGGGCCAGAGCTCTGTGGACGGATCACAGTCTTCCGCGGAGCCTTTGAGTAGGAAGGGGGAGGCAGGATGGGGGGTGGTGGCGGAGGTTGGGGGTCTTCCAAGACAAGAAGCTCTGCCCTCTCTGCCCCCACAGTCCCTCTGACCTGGCCTCTCTCTGCAGGACATGTCTGCCTCACCTCTCGGCCTCTTACTTCTTCAACAACTGCATGTTTGACATGTGTAAATACCAGGGGCTGCAGCAGATGCTGTGTGTCCATATGGCAGCCTTGACCGAGGCCTGCCAGGCTGCTGGCTACACGGTGAAGCCCTGGAGAGGACCCCAGTTCTGCCGTGAGTTGTGCAGAGAAGCGGGGGGATAGGGGAGGGGGAGTGCTTCCTTCAGACACACATGGGAGCAGAGGGCCAGCATCTGAGTGTTAGCACAGGCTTGGGAACGCCTGGTTTAACCCCTTCACTCCCACGTGTGGATGGGGACGTCTGCAGAATCAGAAATACTCACTGAGAAAATCAGTCACTTATGAACTCAGAAAGCCTTCCCAGCTGCCTGAGCTGTGCAGACCAATGCCTGGGGGTGTGTGCCTGATGCACACATAAAATACAGACTTGCGTCTGGGAGGCAGCGCCATGACTGCTGCACACCTGCTGATTATGACCCTGCTCTCTGGAGAGATGCTTTAGGGCAAGGCCATGCCCTTGTTCAAGGCCACATGGCGGTCCCCTAGCTCTCCTTCCACCTTGACCATTGATGTTGGGTGTGTCTGCACAGCACACTCTTGAGGTTCTTGGATCAGTGTGCTCCCACAGACCTGACCCTTGGTCGTTCCCTGCAGGACTCTCCTCCAGGCTTAAGGTAGACACTGAGTTACTCAGTCATGCTGCTCCCAGTTCCTCTCTTCTGCTCAACATGGGCAGAAGTCTCTAGTTGTGGGCCTTCTGGAGTCTGGATTATGAATGAGATTCGGACCTTCTTTCTCTGGTCCTCGGCTGGCCGCATACCCTTCTTACCTGTGCTTCTCCTTCTGCCAGCTCTGGATTGCCCACCCAACAGCAAGTACTCCATCTGTGCCAAGCCGTGCCCTGAGACCTGCCACTCCAACTTCTCTGTCACGTACTGCCAGGACCGATGCGTGGAGGGCTGCGAGTGCAACCCTGGCTTCGTCCTCAGTGGTTCCCAGTGCATCCCCCGATCCCAGTGTGGGTGCCTGGACTTCATGGGCCGCTATATCATGGTGAGTCTCTGGGGCTGGGCCTCTCAGCCATGAAGCCAGAAAGACCTCCTCAGGCATTTGAAGTGACAGCAAGAGAGAAGGGGGTGTGGTGGGGCCTGCGTGGCTGGGATTACGAAAATTCTGGCTTAGTTCTCTTTTCCCCTTTTCCTCGTTTACCTCTAGTACTTTTTAAGCAGACTGGGATGGAATCAGTTACTGCTTACACTACCTGGCAGAGCCTGAGACCCCTGCTGTTCTCCCCTCCCATCTTCCCTGCCTCCGGGTCCCTGAGTCATTTTCTTGCATCTGTGTCTTCCCCGCACTTTTCCCAAACGCTCTTCTCTCCGACCAAGCCCCCTTTCTCTGCTGAAGGACTTCAGCTCCCTCCTGGGCCCCTGGCTCCACATTTTTCTCAGAGGCAGCATTTGGAGTCAAATCCTCATCTATATCGTTTCTCTCTTCCTTCTTTGCCGGCCCTTCAATCACCCCAAGTCCTGGAAATGACACTGATGTCTGTCAAAGCCGTCTGCCGCCTGAGGCCCACGTGGATCTCCTCCCCGTGATCCCCTGTCCAGGCCCACTGGACGCCCTCTGTCTCTGTCTTGCCTTCCTCTCAATTTCACCTTCTTTTCAGCTCCTTTCACCCTGCTCTGCCTCCAGCCACCTATGCCTGTTGGAATTCTTCACCTCCTTTGAGACCCTGTTGAAATACTGCTTCCTCCCTGAGCATTCTTCTTCTTCTTTTAAAAAAAAAATATATTTTATTGATTTTTCACAGAGTGGAAGAGAGAGGGATAGAGAGTTAGAAACATCGATGAGAGAGAAACATTGACCAGCTATCTCCTGCACACCTCCTGCCGGGGATGTGCCTGCAACCAAAGTACATGCCCTTGACCGGAATGGAACCTGGGACCTTTCAGTCTGCAGGTCCATGCTCTATCCACTGAGCCAAACCGGTTTCAGCTTGAAGCCTTCTTGATAGGCAGAATCAGAAAGCACCTCTCTGGTCTGTCTTATAGCCAGCACATTTCTGTCTGTTTTGAAGGCAGGAAACTCTCACTGGATGCCCTGCTTGTCTTCTTCGGGTGCATATTGTGCTGGAGCACATGGTCTATCCGTTTATTTGTTTATTTGTTTACTGCCCCTACTGGGTCATGAGTTGCCTTATGGCAAGGACATCATCCATCCAGTTCATTACTAAATTCATAAGGCTTGGACATAAATATCTGTTGAAATAGTGAAGGAATAAGCAGATGATGGAATTATTGGATCCGTGAGTGAATGCCAGACTTTTGTAACTACTCCTGGACTTTGGGCAAGCCAATGAGTAGCCCAATGGTCTTATTAGCAGTGGGCACTGAATAGCACTGAATAGTCAGACCTGGGAATAACCTCTTTTCCTTCCTTCCTTCCTTCCTCCCTTTCCTTCCTTCCTTCCTCCCTTCCTTCCTCCTTCCTCCCCCCTCCCCCCTCCCTCCCTTCCTCCTTTTCTTCCTTCTTTCCTTCCTTTCTCCCTCCCTCCCTTCCTCCCTCCTTTCCTTTCTTTCCTTTCTTTCCTTTCCTTCCTTTCCTTTCCTCTCCTTTCCTTCCTTCCTTCCTTCCTTCCTTCCTTCCTTCCTTCCTTCCTTCCTTCCTTCCTTCCTTCCTTCCCCCAGGTAGGGCAGCAGTGGTTTGCACCAGACTGCAAACAGCTCTGTATCTGTGAGGGCAACAGCAAAATTCACTGTGTGCTCTGGAAGTGCGGTGCTCAGGAGATCTGCAGTCAGGAGGACGGCATTTATGGCTGCCACGCCACAGGTGAGCAGCCCTGCGGAAGGTGAAAAGAGGGCTGCCTGTGCAGCCTCAAGCAAGGGCACGACCTTGCCCTAAAGCAGGCTCCCCAGAGAGCTGGAGCGGATCCCGGGGCTGGAAGGCAGTTGCCCAGAACCAAGCAGTGTCTTCAGAGACCCAGAGAGGGAGGTCCGGGTAGTCCCAAGCCAAGCTGACTACCCAGTGAGTTACGGGGGCCACCGCAACGTGGACTCACCAGGATGGAACCTCGGGGTTAGTGCACCTCTGACCCCCTCTCGTCCTTCCCAGGGTCTGCCACCTGCACTGTCTCAGGGGATCCCCACTACCTGACATTCGACGGAGCCCTGCACCACTTCATGGGCACCTGCAGCTACATCCTCACCCAGCTCTGCTTTCCGAGGTCCTTCGACAACTACTTCATCGTGAGCGCCACCAATGAGTTCCGGGGCGGGAACGCGGAGGTCTCCCACGTGGCCGCCGTCCACATACAGATCTTCAAACAAAGAATCTCGCTGATCAAAGGCTACAAGGTCGTGGTACGTGCCCCCGCCTGCATCCCGGGGCTCCACACTGACCAGTCTGCTCAGAGCCTCCACGCCGCCCCTCCTTGGCTGCAGACCTGCCCGTCTGGCTTCCAGAGCCCCTAGGTTCCCCACAGCAGGTCCGGCCCCAGGTCCTGAGACACACCCTCTGCCCCCCTCCTGCTCCCGTCCTGGTCCTGTTGTTATTCTTGTTCCAAACGCCTTTCTTTGCCGCGTCCTCCCCGCCCCTGCAGCTGAACGGTCGCCGGGTGACCCTGCCTGTGTGGCTTGCACAAGGCCGGGTAGGCATCAGGCACAGTGGCCTTTTCATTTTCCTCTACACGAACCTGGGGCTTCAAGTTCGCTACGACGGGAACCACCTGGTCAAAGTGACCGTGCCCTCCACCTTCGCCAGCCGGCTCTGCGGGCTGTGCGGTGAGTTCCGTGGGCGCCTGCAGGCAGAGCGGGGACCACAGGAAGGAGCCTGTCCCGGTCGCTGCTCAGCCACACCCTTCATTAGGTGTCCCAGGGGCCTGTCCGCTGCTGCGCGGGCGGAGGGCGTTCGGCGTGGGGGTGGGCACTGAGGGAGGGTCACGGGGAAGAAGAAGTTAGCCTTTTCTGAAGGACCCTCCCGGGGGGAGGAAAGTGGTGGTCCCTGGGCTGGGGCCGCTTGCAGGATTCGTCCGCGGCCTCTGTTCACCGCTCCCTCCTCCAGGAAACTACAACGGCAACAGCTCAGATGACAATCTGAAACCAGGGCGGAGACAGCCTGCGGCCAGCTCCATCGAACTGGGGGTTGCCTGGAAGTCAGATGAATTCTCTGAATCTGGGTGAGCGGGGAGGAGAGGGGCGTTGGGCCGGAGGAAGAGCCTCAGCAGGCAGCCTGCCGGTGTCCTCGGTGTCCCCAGTCTCTCTGGCACCGGAGGTGATCGGAGGTTGTTGGGACCTCGGTGCCCCTGCCTGCTGACCTCTCCTCCGCTTACGGAACTGCCTCTTTGGAGAACCTTTGGGCAGTCTGTCCCGAGAAGGCGCCTTCCTTCCTTCTGTACCTTCTGACTCTCCTAACCTGAGGGCACAGCTTCGTTCTCTTGTCCTGTTCTTATTCACGTCCCTGTTTTTCTCTAGACTTTTCGATGTGTGGGAAGGTTCCTCCAACCCTAAGTTCCTATCCTTCCCCCCTTTTTTTGGGTTAGCTGCTTCTCTGCGGGTGGCAAGCCCCCCAGATGCCAGGAGAAGAAAGTGGCAGCCGCCTGGAGTAAGAACTGTAATATCTTAATGGACCCCCAGGGTAAGCCTCACCCCCTGCTGGCTCTTTTTGCACCCCCACCCCCTCCCCGGCCAGAGAAGGAGAAGGGGGACGGTCAGGGCGGCAGGAAGAGAGGCATGAAATAGACAGAAAGTCGGGAGGAAGTGTGCAGAGGCGGGGTGCACCTTCTCAGGAGCCTGGAGGATGAGCTGCTTTTATGTCTCAGGAAGGAGGTTCTCAGTGAACAGAGGTTTTGATGAAAATGGATGTTGAATCTGCCCCAAGCAGCTGCCTGGTTCTGGTCCCTTCCCAGGCTTCTGCTCTTCTCTCACCCACCTCCGGTTTCGTCCTCCAGGCCCCTTCTCCCAGTGCCACAAGGTGGTGGCCCCAGACTTCAGCTTTGCCAGCTGTGTGCATGGCCAGTGTGGGACCAAGGGCGACGCCCTGACCCTGTGCCGCTCCCTGCAGGCCTATGCCTCCCAGTGTGCGGAGGCCGGCCAGCCGCCTGCCTGGCGGAACAGCACCTTCTGCCGTAAGTGACCTGACCGTCCCTCCGGGCAGCCCCGAGGAGTCCGCCCCGCCCCCAGCCGTGACCTCGCCTCCTTTCCCTAAGTTCTATTCCTCTGGTCTTCCCTTCACAGCCTGGTCCTCAGCACTCACAGGGGACCTCCTCTGTTCTCACTTCCCAGTCTCCCAAGCCCATCCCTCACCCTCTGCTGCACCAGGAGCCTCCTCCACCTGGTTCTCACCTCACCAAAAAGTTCCACCCTTATGTGGTTACTGCATCGTTCCCTCTTACCGAGGCCAGCTGTTTCCTTTTTCTTTCTTTCTTTCTTCTTTCTTTCTTCCTTTCTTTCTTTCTTTCTTTCTTTCTTTCTTTCTTTCTTCTTTTTTAAAAAATATATTTTATTGATTTTTTACAGAGAGGAAGAGAGAGGGATAGAGAGTTAGAAACATCGATGAGAGAGAAACATCCATCAGCTGCCTCTTGCACACACCCTACTGGGAATGTGCCTGCAACTAAGGTACATGCCCTTGACTGGAATCCAACCCGGGACCTTTCAGTCCGCAGGCCGACACTATCCACTGAGCCAAACCGGTTTCGGCCAGCTGTTTCCTTTTTTTCTGTCTTTCCCAGGAACTCATTTTATTAAAAAATGCATGTAAAATATACACACTGTAAAATTTCCCATTTTAAAGATGTTTAAGTGTCCAGTTCTATAGCATTAAGTACATTCACATTGTTACGCAACCATCAACTCCATTCACCTCCGGACTCTTTTCATCTTCCCAAACTGAAACTCTGTTTACATGAAGCACCAACTTCCCATTCCCACCCCACCACCACCCCTAACCCCAGGCACCCAGCATTTTCCTCTCTGTCTCTATGAATTTGACCTCGTGTATTTGTCTTTTTGTGACTGGCTTGTTTTACGTAACGTAATGTACTCAGGGTTCATCCATGTTGTAGTTTATGCCAGAATCCTCTTTTTTTTTTTTTTTTTTTTTTTAAGCTGAATCATATTCCATTACTTGGATTGAGCCCATTTCATTTATCCACTAGTCTAATACACATTCCTAAGAACTATTGATGCCCCAAGGGCAGGGAGGTGGAAATCACTCAAGCTCTTCCTAACCCTGGTTTCTTCTTAGCTCTGAAGTGCCCTGCTAGCAGCAGCTACAGCCACTGTGCCAACCCTTGCCCAGCCACCTGCCGCACCCTAGACACCCCACAGGACTGCCCGGCTTCACTGCCCTGTGCCGAGGGCTGCGAGTGCCAAAAAGGCCACGTCCTGAGCGGAGCCTCCTGTGTGCCCTTCAGCCAGTGCGGCTGCACCGACTCCCGGGGCTCCTACTACGCGGTGAGCGGCCAGGCGAAAGGGGGCCCTGCCCTCCCAGCTCTACGAGTTTGGGGGCGGAAGGAGTAAGGCGGCCAGTCCTGGGGGCTGAGGAGTACGCCCAGAGCCAAAAGGCTAAGAGAGGGTTGCGTGGAGGTAAACACTGAGCGTAGCCAGCCTCACAGGGAGTTCTCGGGGTGTGGGGGCCAGTCTGCCTCTGGCTTCCAAGAATCTGTTGTGTGCCCACGTCCCACAGGTTGGGGAGAGCTGGTACACGGACACTAGCTGCTCCAGGCTGTGCTTCTGCTCCAGCCACAACATCTCCTGCCTCGACACCTCCTGCAAGCCTGCACAACTGTGCTGGGCCCTGCATGGGCTCATACGCTGCCGGAGTTCGGGTAGGAGGCCGCTGAGCATGCCAGAGGACACCCCCCCACCCCCAACCCCCAAGACAAGCTCTCCCCAGTTTCCCCGTATACTCTCCTCACTGCCATCTGGAGCACTCCAGCGTGTGGCCCTGCTGTACAGAGCTTCTGGTGGGGAAAGAGACCACCGCGCTGGGAAGGACTCCTTGAAGTCAGTCCCTTATGGTTCTCCCATAGCCGATGTGGACTTAGACAGGACATTAGAAGTCTCTCCCAGGCAGAATAATACCCGTCCTACCCCTCAGCCTTACACCAGCCTAGCTCTTGTTTCTTGATTCTTTTATTTTGTCTTCCTTCCCTTTGGAGGCCTCCTGCCTTCACACCCTTGTGAAGGAGAATGCCTGGGCTTGATGGAGGCTGGGCACTCCTCAGCCACCTCTCTCTCCTGCAGGGATGGGAGTGTGCCGGATCGCAGACAAGGCCTACTTTGTAAGCTTTGATGGCCGTTATCATGCCATCAGGGGCACCTGTGCTTACGTCCTGATGAAAACATGTCAATTCACCACGGACCTGCCCTTCTTCAAGATCAGTGGCGAGAACGAGGAGAGGGAAGGCCACTCCCCTGCTTTCTACCTCCGCCAGCTCAATTTTAGCGTCTATGATTCCCTGATCACCCTACAAAAGGACCACCATGTGCTGGTGAGCCGGGCGACACCGTCAGGGACAAAGGAAGCAAGCTCTGGGGAGAGGGCTCTCTGGTCCTTCCTCCTCCTCCTCCTCCTCTTCCTCGCATGCCCTACTCTCCTCTGCAGATCAATGGCAAACAGGTCACCCTTCCCTCCAACAACCGGGTCAAGGGTGTCAACATCTATGCCAGTGGCACCCACACCGTGCTCAGACATTTCATTGGGGTGGAAGTCAAGTTTGATGGCAGAGGGTCCTTACAGATCGAAATCCCTAGAGCCTATTACGGAAAGGTGAGGAAAGCACCTGGACCTTGTCCTAGGGAGGTCCGCACCCCCATACGGGCGGGGGCCTTGGGCCCAAGATGGCCCTGCCCAGAACAGGAGAGGGATGGCAAGCGCTCCTTTCTCTTTTGCGTGGAAAAGGGGGCACTAAATGAGAAGCGCTTCCCTGCCCTGACCCCGCGTGTGAGACTCCCCTCTCCCATCCCAGGTCTGTGGCATCTGCGGGAACTTCAACGACGAGGAAGAGGATGAATTAATGATGCCCAATGACGAACTAGCGCAGAATGACATTGATTTTGTGCACAGTTGGCAAGATAAGGAGGCCAACCCAAAGTAATTGTCCCCACTATCTTTCTGCCTTTTCATAGGAACACGAGTTGGGATTCTAGGTAACGTGGCACACCGGGGGCAGAGCGCAGAGCCTTCCCGTACGTGTGCGATTTCCCTGGGAACGGCTCCTGGGTTCTGGGAACCGATTTGGAGAAACATGCAAAGTTTTCCTTTCTTGGCTTCAAAACACGGGAGGGGACCGAGGCTGCATGGAAGGTGGCCAGAGCTCAAACCCGCTTCCCAGTGAAAGCAAGAGGTGTCTTCGGGGTCATCTGGGAGCACCAAGCAGTCTTCACAGGCGGGGCAGTGGCTGTCCCGGTGATGATCCCTCCCCCTTCCCAGTTGCAAAAGCGACGAACTAATAGGTGAGCAGATGAAGACCAGAGCAGGATACCCGGAGACTCAGAATGCAAACTGCAAGCCGTCTAGCCTAATGAGAGCCATGAAGAACTGCAAAGTGGCCTTTCAGACTCCGGCTTGGACCAGGTGTGCCGCCCACGTGGCCCTCACGCCCTTTCTGCTGGACTGTATGCACAACCTCTGTGAGTTCGAAGGCCCAACCCATGCCCTCTGCGACTCTCTGCAAGCCTTCGGGGCCGCCTGCCAGGCCCGGGGGCTCAAGCCGCCAATCTGGAGAAACAGCTCTTTCTGCCGTGAGTGCCCTCCATGGCTATCCCAAATAGCGTTCCCAAACCCTGTTTCTGCCTGCGGATCCCTTAACGCTGTGCTCCTTTCCAGTGACTTCTGACCCATTTCTGACCTCACTGTCTCTGAGGAGCGCTGTTGGCAATAGCCTCTTAGTCCAGGCCCCTCCCACCAGGACAGGCGGGGCTGCTCCTCATCTGCTTCACTAACACTGTCTTTCCGAAGGATATGTGATCGCGTTACTCCCCTGCGTGGCTGTTGTCTGCAACATCAGTCCAAGCTCCTGCCTGAGATGGATGGGACCCTGCACACGGCCCCCGCCCCTCCTCCCTCACCCCTGTCCTGAGCATCTGCCATCACCTGCACCCAGTGACCCCATTCCCCACACAGCCCTGCTTTCCCGCACCCTCCCTGCCTTTATACACACTGCTCCTTGCACCTAGAAAGTTCTTCTCCCCTCCTGGCAGACTTCTAGGCATCCTTCTGGAGCTCTTTTCTTTAAAATTTCAAAAAAGAGATTAGTCACATACCATAATATTCACTCCTTTTCTTAAACTATATTTTTATTGATTCTAGAGAGGAAGGGAGAGGGAGAGAGAGAGAAACATCAATCATGAGAGAAAATCATTGATGGGCTGCCTTCTGCATGCTGGACATAGGAGATTGAGCCTGCAATCCTGGCATGTGCCCTGACCGGGAATCGAACCCATGACCTCCTGGTTCATAGGTCCATGCTCAAGTACTGAGTAACACTGGCCGGGCTCCACTCCTTTTAAAGTGTACAGTCCACTGGCTTTTTAAATGTTCACAAGGTTCTGCAACCATCTAATTTCTGAAACTTTTGAAATTTAAAACAATGATTAAAATGTTTTTAGTATGTGATGCATTCATATGGCTCAAAAACTTTAAAAGAATTAAGAGTCGTGAAGTCTCCCTCCCCGATGACCCCATGAGTGGACTGCCTAGCTTGCTCTTATCAGTGCCTCAGTATTTGCCAAAGGTCTTTATGCACATGCAAACATACAACTTTGCTTTCCTTATTTTCTCACCTTTGAGACCCGGTATTTTGCACTTTATTTTTTTCACTTGACAATCTAACTTGGCGATGCTACTATATCAGATATTCTCTTCCGTGTCGGATAGCCACGTCCCACTTGGTTTTGCAGCTGAATACTGTTCCATTGTTCTATCGTAACCCACTCATCATCTTTTATTTAACTAGTTTCCTAGTAATGGACTTCCCAGTTGTTTCCAATCTTTTGTCTCCCATGCTGAACTGGGAGAACCATTCTTCTTCCTTCCTTCCCTGGGGCCCTGGCACACAGCCCACGGTCACTAAGTCTTTACCCTTCCCCTCCTTTCCCCCAGCTCTGGAATGCCCCTCCCACAGCACCTACACGTCCTGCGTTCCCTCCTGCTCGCGCTCCTGCTGGGACATGGAAGGCCAGTGTGATGAGACGAAAGTTCCCTCCACCTGTGAGGAGGGCTGCATCTGCCTGCCTGGCTACGTGCTCAGCGAGCAGCAGTGTGTGCCCAGGACTCAGTGCAGCTGCAGGGATGCCCAGGGCCGCTCCCTCCCCGTGAGTGGGAAGGAGGTTGGGTGGGACCCGCACACCTTGAGGATGGTACTCTCTCCTTCCTCAACCTCTATCAGCTTGGGGTGCCGTGTCTGTGTGGCTGGCCCGACCTGGGGCAACAGGGCAGGGCAGTCTCCAGCCAGGCCTGGGCTGTGGGGAAGGGAGGGAAGGGGGGGAGAAGGAGGTGGTGGTGGTGGTTTGGATCTGAGGAATCCAAAACTTGGGATACAGCACAGTGTATTGGAGAGCATGGCCTTGGTTTGAATCCTAACTCAAGGAACTGTGTTACCTCAGTTTCCTTATCTGTAAGACGGGTCCAGTAGTTAACTCCTGAAGAACATATGTAAAACACCAAGCACAGTGCCTCCAGGGGGTGGTACAGAGACATAAGTGTGTGGATGGCTCCATAAATGCCTCTAGCCTGCGCGCATTAAGCTATTTAGACTGTGGGTTTGGGCTGAAGGGGCGAGAGGAAGGAGAACTGGCCTTCCCGCCTGATTCCCTTGCTCTTCCTATGGTTTCCACAGACAGGGAAAACCTGGCTCTCCAATGGCTGCACCCAGAACTGCACCTGCAGAGCAGGAGCCATTCAGTGCCAGCCCTTCGTCTGCCCCTCTGGCTCTCACTGCCAGTCCAGCTCCAACGGCAGCAGCACCTGCGCCCTCCACAGTAAGGGAGGCACGCGGGAGGCGACAGGGGCTGCAAAGCTCTGCAGAGACAAGGCCAAGCTCAGGCATGGGGCGGGCCTGTGTTCTCTGTGGCTCCCTGTGGGTCATGACCCTCAATGGGATTCACTCTTTTAAGGGCAAAAAGAGGGAACCGGACGAGGAGATGCTCTTGGGTTTTTAATGGGACTGAGAGAGGGGAAAGTTTCAGCTTAGGTATCAAGGGGGCTCAGGGCTAAGGGGGCGGGGGGCGACAAGAGACCGGGGCAGGATTCTGGGGGCCATTACATCTGGGCAGGGTGCCTTCTCATAAATGGCCCTTCTTGGCAGAGTTGGAACGTTGCTCGGTCTTCGGAGACCCCCATTACCACACGTTCGATGGCGTTAGCTACCACTTCCTGGGCCGCATGACCTACATTCTGGTCAAGACCGTGGACACGCTCCCCAGGAATGTGGAGCCCCTGGCCGTGGAGGGACGCAACAAAGTGCACATGCCCCTCGGCCAGATCTTCCTGCAGGAGGTCATTGTGATCGTCTACGGCTACACAGTCCAGCTCCAGGCTGAACTGCAGCTCGTGGTAAGAGGCGGGCCAGGCCGGGGGTTCTGGGGAGGCCGCCTGGAGCCGGTGAAGCCTGGACTCCGTTCCCCGGGGAAGTTTCTGACGGCGGCTGCCTGATTCTAGAACTCGGAGTTAGTGGTGTCATACTCATGTCGTGAGGAGAGGCGGTGGAGGCATGTGATTAAGCAACAGGCTGGAGAGAGAAAGGGAATGGGAATGAGAGAGAGCGAGCCTGCAACGAGAAGGTGGAGCCGCCTGGGGAACTACCGAGCCATCCACTCCGCTAATGTTTTTGCAAGAAAAGGGGCCGGGGCTGCAGAGGGGCAGATCTCTGGGAGGCCTTTGCCACACAGACAGCGAAGCCTACTGGCGTGTCTCCTTCCATGGAGCAGTGACACAGAGAGGCCCTGGGCTGTGCCAAGCGAGGCAGGGCCATAGCTGCGGGGGCGCAGGTTGAGTCAGGGCTTCCTGACTCCTGCCTTCCCTCCAGGTCAATGACCAGAAGATGGACACCCCCTACAACCCCAACAAGCAGCTGCAGGTCATCATTCGGAGCCAACGGCTGTATCTGATCACTGATTTTGAGTTGACTGTCAGCTTTGATGGGAAGGACAATGCAGGTACCTGAGGCTGGGGACATGGGATGTTTCTGGGATGGAGGGCCGGGGGAGGACCACATCTTAGACATGGTGGGAGAGGACCCCTGCCTGGGAGTGGGGCCCCAAGCTCCAGTGGAGGCCCCGGGAGGGTGGGAAAGCAAAGAGGTAGGGAGTCTTGGATACCCCTTCCTTCTGCAGTGATCTCCCTGCCCAGCACGTACCTGGGGCTGGTGAGTGGCCTGTGCGGGAACTTTGACAAGAACCAGAACAATGAATTCATGCTGCCCAATGGTGCCCTCACTCAGAACCTCATCAATTTTGGCAACAGCTGGGAGGTGAAGACCAAGGGAGGCCTCCCCCGCTTCTCAAGGTGAGAGGGCCGGGGCTTGGGGCAGGGAGGCCCAGGCTCCAGGGCCTGAGCAATAACACAGTATCTGTCCGCACCCCGCCCACCCCATATTCTCAGCAGCGGAGGAAACCCGCAGGCGAGTGCCCGGACACACTGGCCTGATTCTCCTAATCCTGGGGGTAGAGGGGCTCCTGTGCCCATGCTCTCCCCTCAGTTCTTTCTCAATCCACGAGCTTCTGTGAGCCTCCCCTGGCCCGTGGCTGTCTCTGCCCCAGGTCCATCCGAGAGGAGGAGGAGGGAGAGGAGAAGGCAGGCTTCGGTGTGTCAGAATGCAGCCCAGAGCAGCTGGAGCTCATCAACAGCACCCAGGCCTGTGGGGTGATGGCGGACCCCCTGGGCCCCTTTGCCGCCTGCCACCAGACTGTGGCCCCGGAGCCCTTCCAGCAGTGAGTCAGGAGCCCAGGACACCGGGAATGGCCTTTCTCTGGGTCCTGCTGCCTGTCTCTCACTTCTGCTGTTTGGCTCACCTCTCTGTGGCCTCCATACCTTGTGACCCGCCCCCTACACACACACACACACACACATGCACATGCACTGCACACACACATGCACACACGCATACACTCTTTCTGGTGGGGCTCCCAGGCTTGTTCTGCAGGGCTGGGTGTGGTTGCCTCCTCCCCCTCTGACGGCCTTCAGCTGTCCCCACGGCTCCCCTAGGCACTGTGTGTTTGACCTGTGCGTCACCCGGGACCCTGAGGAGCAGGAGGAGCTGCGCTGCCACGTTCTCAGCGCCTACGCCATCATCTGCCAGGAGGCAGGCGCCACCCTGGCCAGCTGGCGGGACCACACTCACTGCGGTGAGGCACTGACCCGACCCCGTCAGCCATTTCTGCTTCTGCTCAGCTCAGTGCCACCGCATTGCTCCTACCTGGGGCTTCCCCTCTGGGTGCCCCATCACTCAACGCTCACCAAGCCGGCGTCCTCCCAACCTAAGCCCGCTCTGCCTCCCCCAGGGAGGCTCCAACCCCACCGTCCCCGATCTTGCTCCTTCTCACCAATGGCCACCTTTTCTCCTCCATTTCCTTCATGTGCTTTAATGTCACAGAGACCCTCAGAGCCAGCCCACGCTCTGGCGTCCTTGCCTATACCTTCTTGGCCGAGTTGGAACGATGCTCGGTTGTTGGAGACCTCGTTTCCCCTCCAGTCCTACGCTCCTCACACCTGTTGGGCCGACCCCAGCTGGCCACTCTCTGATTGTGTCTCTGTCCCTTCAGCCTTGGCGTGCCCAGCCAATACCCTCTATCAGAGCTGTATGACACGCTGCCCTGCCTCTTGTGCCAACCTGGCGGCTCCCAGGGACTGTGAGGGCCCCTGTGTGGAAGGCTGTGCCAGCCTCCCAGGCTACATCTACAGTGGTGCCCGGAGCCTCCCCCTGGCCCACTGCGGTTGCACCAACAATGGCATCTACTACCAGGTCAGGGGTGTGTGGGAGGCCTTGGGGGAGTGGGGGTGGAGGTGTGGAGACAGGAAACTAGGACCTTCTCCTCCCAACTCTTCTTCCCTCCCCAGCGGGGTGACAGCTTTGTGACTGAGGATTGCTCTCAGCGCTGCACCTGTGTCAGCCCAGAGCACCTGCTGTGTGAGCGCCTCGGCTGCAGCGTCGGGGAAATCTGCACCCTGGGGAACCTCACTCGTGGCTGCTTCCGAGGTGAGCCTGGATCACCCCGTGGCTTCCAGCTGCCTCCATAGCTCAGACCTCCCTGGATTGAGACTGTCTCCCTGTCCTATGGCTGGGACTCCTCCCCATCAATGCCAGGAAGTTTGTGCCATTTAGTTCCGCTTCTTCTCACTTAGCCCCGTCCTTTGTCAAGAGGGGCAGAGGTTAAGGACTTGATGCGTCCTGAGCAGCTGCTGTCGGCCAAGCGCTTAGCATCAGCCTTCCATGATCTCCTTTAGTCCTTACTCAGCACTTGGTAGAAGCATAGTCTTCCCGTTTCACAGGTTAAAAAAACAAGGACTTGTGAGGTGAACAATTTCCCTAGAGCCAGGGCTAGTGAGTGCAGAGACAGGAGTGGAAGCTGCTGCTTTATTCCCTCTCCTGGGCTGGGGTGTCCTCCCAGAACCACTCCCAGCACCCCTTTCGTCCTTGTAGAAAGCCCATGTCTGCGGAACCCCTGTCAGAACGATGGGCACTGCCAGGAGCAGGGCGCCCACTTCACCTGTGAGTGTGCACTTGGTTACGGAGGAGACCTCTGCACGGAGCTTTGGGACATGCCACTCCCCGAAAAGCCAGGTAAGAATTTATTCTCTGGCCCTGTATCCTCAGAGTCCCTGCCCCACCAGCAGCTGCCACTATTCCATGTGTTCACTGAGTGGACAGATTACTATGATCTCTGAACCCATACTAATCTGGCCACTCAGTATATATATTATATATAATAAAAGGCTAATATGAAAATTGTCCCCTCAACCAGGAGTTCCATCCTCAAGCAGGCAGACCAGCCAGTGGCCCATGTCCCCTACCTCTGGCCAGGTTGGCTGGACCCCACCCATGCATGAATTCATGAACTGGGCCTCTAAAAAATAAATAAATAAAATAAATACACACACACACACACAATGAATGGCCAGATTATTATGTGTTCAGAGATCAAATTATCTGGCCACTCAGTGTATAATGTTCACATCTAATAGGTATTACAGACATATAACAGATAGGTAATATAGTATTAATATAATCTATATTTTAGAAAATATAATATTATTATAATATGATCCCTAGAGATTAACAAGACAGGTTCTCCAAGAATCTGAGTCACTGTGGAACCTCCCTGATCCCAGCTCTCTTCTGAGGTCTATATGCCTCACCCCCACTGTTCCTTCCCCTCTTGTATCACTCCAGGCCTTTCCAAGACCTTTTGTTGTCTTTCCCCCTCCAAAACTACAATTCCCTTGAGCCTCTGGGCCAGTGACTCTCCAACTTTGTCTTACTTAAGATTGGGAAGGGGGCAGGGCTGGGAGGGTTGGCTTATTTAACACATTTATTCCGAGACTCATCCCCAGAGACTCGGATTTGGTAGATCTGGAGTGGGCCCAGAAGTCTGCGTTTTAACAAGTTCCCAGGCGACTGAAGTCATTCTAGGTTTCTTCTCTGAGAAGTGCTGGTGGAGAGGCTGCCCTGGACTCCAGGGACTAACTGGATGACACCCCCCTAAAAGGCTCACGGGAGCTATGTGCCCAGAAACGGAGAGTTCTTGGGGGAGGGAGTGCCACTAAGGACTCGGAGCCCCTGGGGCAACAGCCCCCTGGAGAGTTACCAGTCACAGCCAGGGACTTAGGGGATGCAGGACCTTCAGGACGACAACCAAAGACCAAAAGCACGCGTCTCCTCCTCCACCCCTTCCTACCCCATTCCAGAAGTGTCCAGCTTTGTGGTCATCCTGTTGGGCATGCTGGTGCTCGTGGTGGTCATAGTGCTGGTGGTGGTCAGAAAATGTGTTTCCAAGAGCAAGAGGAGGAGGTGAGTTCGGGGAGAGGGCAGCTGGGGGGGGGGGTGAGTGGACATGGGGAGTGGGCACTGACCCTCTCTTTTCCCCACCATCCCCTAGGGAGAAAACGCGGAGCCGGCACAGAGACAGGCTGGCAGGCACAGGTGAGAACCAACCCCACTGCCCAGAGCCGGGAGCGAAGGCAGCCTCTGACACAGGCTTTCTCCCTTCCCCCCAGGTTTTGTTCCAGAACCTGCCTGCAAAGTCACTTAGTTTGAGTTGTCCTGAGTAAGGAAGAGAGAAAATAAAATTATTTGTTTTGAGATGTGGATTTCCATATAATCGTGGTGGAAGGGTCTGTGAGCTGGATCCTCGTAGGGGGAGGAATAGGAGGGAGGGGTATGTAAAGACATCAGGCTGCCATCTAGAGAATGTCCAGAGAGGGGATGTCTGAGGAGGTGAGGTCTGTTCCTTAAGCAAAGCCACATCTGGGTGGGCAGTCAGCCCTCTGGCGTCTGGGACACAGGAGAAAAGATTGCCTTCGTCCTGTTTCCCCCTAGGAATCCTCGTGCTCAGAGGACTTGGCCCCTGAGCTTCCCACCGGGGGTAGTGAAGTGGACCTGAGGAGTTTGACATTCCTAACGATGCGATGACTTGTGGGCAGAGGCTAAGAACGGGGAGTGTTTTATTTTAAAGGGGTGAACAGGCCTAGGATCCTCTGAGGAGGTCCCCACCTTATGCACACACCCATTTCCCAAAAGGATCTAAGGGTTACTGTGGCAACAGAGTGGGACCTGGGGCCTCTTGCTGAGGAGTCTTAACCACGTTCTATCTTAGTAGGAGAGACAACACCCCCACACTTCAGCCTGAGGTCAAAGGGAAAACCTTTTGACGCCGACCCCTGCCTTGTGCCTGGCACCAGGCAGTTCCTTGTTTGGCAGAGGGGGGTGGGACAGCCTCCTTGGGCTCAAAGGAAAGAAAGGCTCCCAACTGGGGGGGTGGGGGGGAATCAGGATGTAGGACCCCAAGGGTCAGTGGCTTGGGTACCAATGCAGGCAGGACAGTGGGTTCTAGAGAGATGCCTCACTCAGTGCTTATCCTCTAGATCACTGACCCTGCAGCCACTTACCTTTTAGGAAGCAAGACCTAACGTGCTTGGGGGTAGGGCTTGGGAGGAAGGAGTGCCCGTGGCCAGACCACCCTGAAGCTTTGCCGAAGGAGGCAGCTCCCACGGCAGGGTGCGGTAGGCAGGCTCAGGGACTCTGGAACTGGGCTGGCCATGCTTTGATCTGGGTGCCCCAGGCTTCCTGAAGATACCTGCACAGACCACCACGTCTTTAACCCTTTACCTGTTCTTCATCTGTGCCTGCTCCCCCATCTGTTCCTCGCCTGCCAGCTCAGGTCACCTTCTCAGCCAAGGGTCCAGTTGTCAGGGGAAGCGGGTGGCCTGAGCCAGCCTTCTCCAGATAGACCTCCTCCTCCGGGATCCACACCCCTTGTCCTTGGCAAGACTGAGTCCCTCCCTCGGTCTCTTGGAGGTATAATGTGGGCAGGATCTCATCAGATGAGGAGACAGAGGATTCCAGACGACTGAGAGGGGATCACTGCCTGAGGCTCCCTGGGCTGGGAGAGGCAGAGCTATGATTAAGGATCCTGCCTGCACTGACCCCAACACCACAACAGGGGGAGCAGCTGAGATGTAGAAAGAACAGCTGCTCCCGTTAAACAAAGCTGCCCCAGTCCAGGCCTGCCCCTGCAGGTGTCCCTGCGGGCGGGCAGACCGGGAAGAAACAAACAGAAGATGGCAGAGAAAAGCAATGGGGATTGACCCCATCTTCATCCTTCTGTTCGGGAGGGAGAAGTGGGGGAAGACACCCAAATACCTTCCCCCTCTCCTTCCCAAGAGGTTGAAAGGACCTGCCTGGGCAGCATCTTGAAAGGGGGAATTGTCCTCCTGATCCAGCCCAGCATCTGTGTTATGTGTACACACGTGGGGGCCTGCATCCTCCACCCCAGCTCGCTGCACCTCCCCCACAGCCGACACAGACACTCCCCCTGTGCCTTCAAACCCGCCCGTGGTCAACATCTGGTCTACATCTGTCTCCAGCTGCCTGGACCCCCATCCCAGTGGGTTCTCCCCCCACTTCAGGGGGCTATAGAGCAGAACCAGGAGCTCAAGGCCTCCTCTTGGCCTCAAACAAGCACCCTTCCAGGGCTAGGGAACCAGGGCAAGGGAGGGGAGGGGGGCAGCCCCACCCCGGAGGTGCCCCGGGCTCTTGGCAGAGCCATGCAGAGCGGTTAGAAGCAGCTGCCAATGACTCATCTCCCACTGCCCCCACCCCACCACCTCAAACACACCCTGGGGCTGGGAACTTCCCATTTTCTTTTATTTATACAAAAAAATTTTTTAAATATAATTTAAGAACCCCTCCAAGCACCAGTGTCTGTCTCTGGTTTCTACGGCCGCCTTGCCCCCCACACCCCCTCATGGACACAATTTGGGGATACTTGGTGGGGCAGGGGTCTAGGGGCTGTGGCCTGACCAAGGCACTGTTCTGAAAAGACACACAACAATGGGTTCCTGTTTCAACGTGGGCAAAGGAGGGGATGACGAAACAGGTCCCTTCCGACACAAAAAGTTATGACATGGACAGTAAAAAAAAAAAAAAAGAGAGAGAGAAGAAAAAAATAAGAGCAAAAACAAAAATTAAAACTCAAAAACCTTCAATATGAAGGCAGCAGCTGGGGGAGGGGCATTTACAAGGGAAAACTGAGTTCGGGGGAGACAGCAGCAAGGTTGGGACATCCGGGTCCAATGGTTTTGTCACTGGGCACGACGCCCTTCCCGCTTCCCACTATGGTGCTCCACTCCCGAGCTTACAGGCTTACCACCCTCTTCTCTTTGGTCTACAGGGTCTGCGGCCCTTCCCGGTGAGGAGGGGCCCGGGGCCCTGACTGGGGATCAAAGGGAAGCTGAGGGGATTGCACACGGCCACCCCGGGGAGTTGGCAGGTGTTGGGCACTTCCTTCCCCTCTGGCCACACCCACCTGGGGGCACACCCACCCTCGGGGAACATTATTTCTACACTCCCTTACGGCAGAGTCCCCAAATGCTGACTCTCCCCTTTGCCAGCTCCCCACCCCCATAGGTTCAAAGTGCAATCCAATGGGGTGCAGGGATGGGGGCCTCTTGGGTCCCCACCTGACTCTGCCCCCAAAAGAAGGGGAGCGGTGTCCCCAGCACGGGAATTCCTGCTGCTCCAGAGCCGCGGGGCCAGTGAAGAGGTGCAAGTCAGTACTGGGAGGCTGGTGCTCCCGACGCCCCTGGGGCTCCAGGTTTGGCCTGGGACTTCATGTGCTGGACACTGGCCAGGATTTTCTTCTGGTGTCCCGCCAGGGTGACTCCTATTCGGAGCAGGTCCCTGAGGAAGGAGAGAGTTAGGTGAGGCCATAAGGCTGCTGGGACCACTCTCCTAGCTTAGCTCCAGAAACCTGGTCACCGCCCCCGGATTGCCAGCCAATCAGGAAGGCCATCGGGAGCCTGGGTGGGGGTGGGGTGGAGGAGGGAAGGAGGGGAAGGGTCACACGTGTTTTGCAGGATTTAGGAGCTAGGCTGCCGTCCAGCCCGGCCCCAGCAGGGTACCAGACTTAAGTATCCAGCAGGCCCCTGGCCGAGGGGGGCGGGGTCTAAAGATGGGAGGTTGCGGGGCGGGGTCTGCCTGGATGGAAGCTCCAGCGAGGATTAAGGCAGAGAATCAGAAAAGGAAAGAAAGGCCCACAAAATGGGGGAAGGGGATGCACAGATTGCTTTAAGAGGAGAAAGGAGCCGGCAGGAGGGAAAGGCCGGAGAGGAAGGGCTGGGTGGAAAGGAAGGGGAGGGAAGGGGGAAAACAAACCGCCTCCCCACTCCATCCTGAGGCCTGGAGACTGAGATAAGGGAAAAAAGAAGAGGCGGGAAACGGAGAGCTAGAACCTGTGTCAAGGAGAGGTTGAAACAAGTTTGTGAGGAGAGGAGAGGGCCCAGTCCTGGTGAGGCAGACCGGCCTGCGACCTGTCCCGCCAGGGAGAGGGCCTCCTGGACCCTCTGGTTCCAGATTTCTATGTCTCCTATTCTGTTTTTCAGATTTGGGGCCAGAAGAGTCCTTGGGAAAGAAATAGGAGGGCAGAAAGGAGAAGTATCAGAGAGAGCCAAACTAGGGGGGGGAAAGTATTTGGGAAGCGTTGAAATAAAACTATTTAACATTAAAGCTGGAAAGGTTCTCCAAAACCTAGTCCAATCTTCTCCTTTTATGGGTGGGAAAACATCCAAAGTTGACACGTTGTTAATGTGAGAGCAGGGTCTGGAATGCAGAGAGATGCACAAAGATACAGATTGCCAGGCAGGGAGAAAGGACGGAGGGCTGAAATGGTGCAAGAGGGTGAGGCGGTCACAGCTGGCCTGGAAGATTCCCTGGGCTTTCAGCCCCAGCAGCTGTTATTGCCTTCCTAGAAAAGCTGGCACCAGGAGTTGACCCCAAAGGCCCCTGATGAACCAGTGCGCTGGATTCTGGTCCCCAGGTGCCCCTCGGGCTTGGCTCTACCACCCCCCCCCCCCCCCCCCCCCGCCAGTCTCCAGTTTCAGCCATGACTTACTCAGCGGAAATCTGGCTGACCAGCTCGAAGGAGCCAAACCCAGCAGCTGCAAAACTCTCTTCGTATCTTCCCATTTTGATGGCCCGGAGCCACTCACCCACAGAGCCAAAAGCCGAGTAGTGAGGCTGCCGCTGATCCAGCAGTGGGTGTGAGGCCCTGGAAGGCAGGATGGAGGGATGCTCTGAGGACCAGGGCTGTGTCAGGATGTCGACAACAGTGAGCCCAGCCTTGGAGAGGCAGCCAGGGACAATCCTACATACCCACAAAGGAACACACTTTTTTTGGAGATTTTGGGAGGGGAAGGAGGGAGGAAGGGCGTGGCAGAGTGCAGCAAGGGGGGCCCATTCTTAGGAGTCCTCACCCGCCATTCTCCCTGGCCACGATTTTGAGGCTGGCAGGGTTCCGAATCATCTTGTCGAGGGCACTGACCACCTGGGGGAAGCGGGGCCGTGCGTTCCGGTCCTTCTGCCAACAGTCCAGCATGAGCTGGTGCAGGGAGGTGGGGCAGTCTGGGGGAGGGGGTAGCCGGTAGTCCTGTTCAATGGCATTGATCACCTAGAATGACAGGAGAACTGGGTGAGGATGTCCTGGGAGGATGAGGATGCCAAGGACCTTAAGGAAATGGTGACTTAGCAGATGCTTGGATGGGTGCGACAGCGCTCCAGAATGGCAAAACTAGGGGGGTTGAGGCCGGCTCTGACTCAAAGCCCTAGCCACTCGGGCTGTGGTTCAGATGTGTAATCCCAACTGTGCCCTCCATCCTGTGTCCTGTGACCAAACATGCTCTTGGCCACAAAGATCAACTCTTCTTTGTGATACTCTCATCATCTCAAGGACCCAGCAGGGATGAGCTCTCTGGGAACCCCGTCCCCACCCATATCCCTGGTGGGAACATTCAAGAAAACATAGTAGGGTCCTGGGACACTTACATCCTGATTGCTCATATCCCAGTATGGCCGCTCCCCAAAAGACATGACCTCCCACATCACAATCCCGTAACTCCAGGCATCGCTGGCAGATGTGAACTTCCGGAAGGCAATGGCCTCAGGGGCTGTCCATCGGATGGGAATCTTTCCTCCCTAAAGATGAAGAAGGCAAAGATGAGAGGAGGGACCCAACTACTCTGTCCGTCTTTGCTTTTCCCCTAGCCCAGATCTCCTTTCTTCCTGGGACCCAGCTCCCAATGCAATTCTCTTTCTATTAATACACAACCAGAAGTCAGATTCCCTAAGCGGATCCCCCCACTTCTGTGGTCTGCTCCTTCATCCTGTCCCTAGATCAGAGCTGTCAACCCCCCAGTCTCCCACCTGCTCCTGCCCACCTGGCCCTAAGAGCCCAATTCCTAGGTCAGTCCCTCGGCCTCACCAGAGAGCTCGTGTAGGTGGGGTCAGAAGAGTTCTCCTCCAGGAATCGGGAAAGGCCAAAGTCTGAAACCTTGCAGACAAGGTTGCTGTTGACCAGGATGTTTCGGGCAGCCAGGTCACGGTGAACGTAGCTCATCTCAGCAAGGTACCGCATGCCTGAGGCAATGCCCCGTAACATGCCCACCAGCTGGATGACAGTGAATTGTCCATCGTTCAACTGGAGACCAAGCAGGAGAGAGGGGCATGGTTAGCGTAGTTCACTCTCCGTTCCCCCTTCCTTCCACATTCTAAACCATATTTGCCACTTCAGATCCACATCGTGTTCCCCTGCAGAACAGGCCTGCAGACTTCCCAGGTAAGCCCTATTTCTCTCCTTATCCCAAGTTCTCTGAGCTCTTACTACACTGTCATAACACAACGCTTATAAAATGTTCCCGTTTCAAATATATACATTCATTCTCTTAATTAGGCTGTAAGGAGAGATTTAAATGTTTTCTCCTTTTAATCTCGTACAGTGCTTTATACCCAAGACATACTCAACAAATTCTTTTTATTTAAGAGCAACAGAATTCTGCCCTACCCGGTTTGGCTCAGTGGAGAGAGCTGTGTCCTGCAAACTGAAGAGTAACAGAGCTCTGACAAGAGTGTGCTGTGAGCTGCCAAACACTCTTGTGAGGCAAAATCTAGCTCAGCCTTCTTAGACTGTGTGTAGTATCAAGAGAGGAATCGAGTCGAAACCGGTTTGGCTCAGTGGTAGAGCGTCGGTCTGCGGACTGAAAGGTCCCAGGTTCGATTCCGGTCAAGGGCATGTACCTTGGTTGCGGGCGCATCCCCGGTGGCAGGTGTGCAAGAGGCAGCTGGTCGATGTTTCTCTCTCATCGACGTTTCTAGCTCTCTATCTCTCTCCCTTACTCTCTGTAAGAAAATCAATAAAATATATTTAAAAGAAGAGAGAGAGAGAGAGAGAGAGAGAGAGAGAGAGAGAGAGGGAGGAATCGAGGAGGCACCATCAGCACCCACAGCATCAAAACCAAGGTCAAGGTCTAAACACTGTCCTTGACCTCTAGTTTGCTCTCACCAGGTAACCAAGCGATCAGAAATGGTTAACTAATCTCATCTTCTGGGTTCAGCTAACATGCAGGGGTCCCTCGGCAGCCCTGCAGGGCCAGGGACACCAGAGTCCAAAACAGAATTCTGAATCCATCCTCCAATCCTGAACACACCCCCAGCCTTGGATCTGTTCGTGGAAATACCACTTGCCAGATGCTTAGAGCATAGACCTCGGTGCTTCCACAATTTCTTCCCTTTTCTCCCCTCTCCAGCTACTTATAGCCAACCCATCAGCAAGTTCTGCTGGCCCTGCTTCCAAAACATACCCCAAATCCAACTTCTTCTCTGCGCCCCGAGCCAACCCTCACGGCCTGAATGACAAGTCTCCTCACTGGTTCTTGGCTTCCTTCCACTCTTGTTCCCCAGCACCCACCAAAGGGATCTCCTACGGAAACTCCTCCGGAGACTGGCCCTTGAACTAATCAAATCCAAATTCCTGACCAAGGCCAAGAGGTCCATGTGGCAGGGCCACCACCTGCATTAAGGCCCACCAAGGTTCCTCTGCTCCCCAGGTTCAGCCTCGCCTGCCTTGCTGCTTCTTGTTGACCACTCTGGTCTCTGCTCTCTGCCCCCAACACGATTCTTCCCCATCTTCTCAAGGCTGGCTCTTTCCCATTGACCCAAATGTCATCTCTTCTAAAACAGACCCTCTTCCCCTCCCTGCAACAGGATCTCTCTCAGGCACCAATGAAATAGACTCCTGTGTCCACAGGGAGAGTCAAGCCATGATCACACCACTCCAGGTCAACCTCATCATCACTCATGGGGGAGCCAGGTGGCCCGTGTATCCTGATGGGGTGTCATGTGACATTCACAGCACCCCCAATAT